GAGTAGGGGGGGGGGGGGGGAGACATCTATTGTCTGCCACATACAATGCTCCCTCTGGGAAGGTTAGTAACACCTCCTAGACTCCAATTATGCAAATGCAATGAACACCCGGTCACAATTAACAGATTATGTGGATTGGAGCAACATTCACCATATTTATTCACAGAGAATTTTTGTACAAGTCATTCTGAATTCAGAAAGCTAATTGGATGATCAGTGAAACATCTTCAAGAAAAATACAGCAAGTCCAGTTGTCTTGACTTATTTTTTACAGATATACCATGACCTGGATGAATGAGAACCTTCACAGACATTTCATTGGATAATATAACAGTGATGCCACTGATGTATCAAATTATGAGAATTGCACTAAAAGTGCATCTTTTCCAATACTGAAATGATTGTTTTCAACAATTGTGGAAGGTAAACATCATAATTAAAAGGTCAATTCTTAGAGTTTCTTAATCTGTAATTAAAAAAAAAAAAAAAAAACCTACGCTGCAAATATTAGGTAATGAGTTAGTAGGGGCAAGAGCAGGACATAAAAAGAAAACGTAAAACAGAGAACTGTATCTAATAGGGAAGTAGCATTTTAAATGGTTTCCTTACTTAAAGGGGTGCGTGTTATCAAGTCTGTGTTGGCTTGAAATTGGATACCGTCTGTAACACCTGAAAGGGAGTGAGAGAGGTACGCACTAGGTAAGAACAAAACAAACCAAAGATATCTGGGCTTACTTTTTCAAGTGTGTGAAAATGCATAGAGCTCATAAGCAGCTGGTATGGCATCAATGAGTGATGCTGATGAGCATTGATAGTCCCAATGAACCGGGTATTTGTATGTGACCTCGAAATGCGTTGGCTATTTCTAACTCTCAACAAACAACCCTACAACAACCCTGCTTTGAATAAAGATGTATCGGGACTATTAAGCCAAGTGTGGGGCTTCCAAGGAGACGTTGGATATCTTTTGCCATGTAAAAGCGGCCTCTCTGATAGTCAGGTCAACTATTCCAATTGTTTCACATAATATTAGGCCAACCACACCAATAGGATAAACTTGCAGGTCCAGTGCTTTCTTTCCAATGCTTATCTATGTAACAGGAAGCTGCTGCACAGTGGCAAAGTTTCACATTGGATTCATGCACAGATCTGAAAGAATATACAATGCACATCAAGATTTAGTTTTAATTAGGAATGTGTGTGTGTGTGTATATACATGCTTTAGACAAAATTTGGTTATCCTGGATTCAGCTTTAAGAACAGTATTTCTTAGAGTTCATCTAGATCAGGTGACAGGCCATGTCAGTGATACGCCGTAGCTGATCGTTGTCATGGCAAATCAGTCAGACAGGTTTGAAAACATTCTTCAGGTATTTCTTCCTGATAAGACAACATTGGGAGATTTCCCATTTTCCCTGTTCCATCCCCTAAATCCTGTACATTGACAAGGGAAGCGTGAATGTTTATGTTATGGTCAGCCAATAGACATCCCTCTCCGTATTCTGCTCACGCCTGCACAAAGTTATTATGTCTGGCTTTAGTTGTGTATAGTGTATGTGTCTTTCTTTTTCTACCAACTAGTTTTTATCTTTCATGCAATGCTATAGCTATGTGTAATGGGGCCGCATAGCAAAACTATTTGTGGCTGTACATCTAACCTCCGACGCTAAGGAAATTCCTGACACGGAATACTAATTATCTTCATTACATTTCCCTAAACTATTCATACAATAATTTCACCCATATATGATTTCCAAATGCTTTTGCTACCAGCATAAATCGCAGTGTGTCCACATGATTCTGGGCCATCTAAACTTTTTCGCCCCACAGCAGTCACATGATCTGCTAAGACCAATCTCCTCCCCGATACTGTTGTAAAACAAAGTGGAATGAATAAAAGTTAAAAACTGTTTCCACAAAGTTTTCCCATGATGACCCCTGAAATGTATAGAAATCATGGGATGTGGGTTCTACCTGCTGCTGCCACAAGTTCTGTATTGTTACCTTCACTTGTATAAATCACATTGAGTGAATTTATCAAAACTAGAGAAGACAAAATCTGGTGCAGCTGTGCATGGCAACCAATCAGCTTCTCTCTTTCATTTTCAAATTTTAACTGAGCAAACTGAAAGGAGAAACTGATTGGTTGCCGTGCAGAGCTGCTCCAGATTGTGTCTGCTCCAGTGTTGATAAATTCCCCCATTGTCCTTTTGTGTAATCATAGATCCAATCTTCACTGTGTTTTATGTTTATTTTAAACAACTGGTGGAAGTTATGTCATAACACTGTTACCAGATAACTTGGCCTGGACAACAAAGGTGGTGGAAATGCACCATTACATAGTTAGTCAGGTTGAAAAAAAAAGACACAAGTCCATGGAGTTCAACCTATAGAGATATGAAAAAAAAAAAAGAAGGAAAGCCTAAACAGAACGCTATGCCCCCAATTACCCCCTGCTGATCCAGAGGAAGGGGAAAAAACCCTATAAAGCATGGTTCAATTTTCTCCAACAGGGGAAAAAATATCTTCCTGATCCCATAAGGAAATCGGATATTCCCTGGATCAACAATCTCTGATGCCTAATATACCTCTAAGAACTCAATATCCAGTAATATTCTGTGCATTTAAGAATACATCCAGATTTTCTTTTAAACAATTAACTAGCTACTGGGGGAGTCTGTTTCACATTTTCATAGCTCGAACTGTGAAGAATCCTTTCCGTATGCAAAGGTTAGACCTCTTTTCCTCCAGACGCAAGGAGTGCCCCCTTGTCCTTTGCAGTGACCTTAAAGTGAATAATTTGGCACCAAGCAACCATTAAAAATATTATCACATGTCTAGAATATCCCCCACACCCCTCCATCTCCAAATGATACTAATAATAACACTTTCTATTGCAGCTTAAGGGAAGTGCTGGCTCCTCTTCTTGATGATAAAGGTGTTTCCTTCCTGGAACTGGAGAATGACTTTCCCGAACAAATTGCACTTGCCCATTGCATTGAAGCTTGGAAGGTTGCTGCCAATAAGAAGTGGAATCGCATTTAATGGCCTCGAATGGATAATAGTGGCTGCAAAGTCTATGTGCTGCATTGTGAGACCTTATATTGCTGCTGCTAACTCAGGCTGTTTTGTATTTTTTTACTTTTTATATTTTGTTTCATTACAAATAAGATATATAGATGTATATGCAAAGGATGCATAATAGAATATATAGCAATAAGTGTATGTGACTTATTAGGAAAAAAATAAGTAATGACAACAACCTAAAATTGGTACAAACTAGATTGCTGCATATTTTGTATCTGACCAACCCTAAACCATGTCTACAACTTAGAGGTTAGTGTTGCCTTTCAGATACACATTTAGTACACATTTGTAGGTTATGCATCCGTTTATAGTTATATTACATTTTCAGTATATTACATTTTCAAATTACTGCCTATGCCACACTTGGGAATGGTAAGGCCCTTCAGTTACAAAGAATAAAACAACAGGAAAGCTGAAGGATGGAAGTTGCCATTGCCTGACCTAGACAAGTGATGCAGCTATATAGCTGTATGAGCAGAGCCCAGGTTTCTACCTCTAATAGTGTTAGAATAACTCAGGTATAAAGATTTACTATGCTTACCAATCATAGACCAGAAAAATGACCACAGTCCGCACACTTCAACTTTTGTACTTTTCACTGGTTTAGGGAATCTATCGATATGGAATAATGCACTTATAAAATTAAGCCATGGGAAATTATCATTCATAGATAGAGAAGGTTGTTTCCAGATCCTTTGAATGAATATCATCCCTAAGAGCTATAGCCGGGTTTTCATAAAATAATAATTTTTGTTAAAGGTAACATTTTAGTGTTTTACTGTTGTTCTTTCATAAAGGGCAATGCATTTCCTGGGAAAGGGTGAACCCGTGTACCCACCAGTAGTGTCAGTTGATTTATAATTGATAAAGCAAGAAGGTCCATTGAACGGCTATAGGCGTATATATTTTATACATTCCCAGAACATTTTCCAGCATATTCAATAACATGCTGCAAAAGCAATTATGCTGAAAGTGTAGTAAATCTTAAAGTGTATTTCCACCTTTTGCAGTCAAATTTGAGGAACCCCCACTATATGTTTTAATGTATTTAGTCAAAACAGCATACCTAAAAATAACAAAAAAAAGTTCATATCTGTTTAGCTGTGTCTTTGAAGCAGGATTAAACAAAGGACTCTACAGGCAGCTTCTATTGCCCGAATAGATGGCAATGTGCAGATAAAGCTGGGGCAGCTTTTTAGTGTAATAACATACAATGTATGTTATTTAACCCATTGTTAGGACAGACAGTGTTCAAATCTAGTCACAGCTGATAATTAAATCTGCCAGCACAGTACAGACAGGGTTAAATATGTAAATATAAATTCACAAAACTTAATACCCCAATCTGACATTACATAGGGAAAGATATCTAAGATTTTTCAGCAAAGAAAAAGCAATAAAAAAATAAGCAGCATTGTTTTTGTCTTTTTTTCAAAGGTATGTTTTGTGAATGAAAACATGTAACAGATATAAAGCGAGTGGTATCCCAATATGCCTGCAAAAGTGGAAATACACTTTGATGGCCGATCAGGAATTATTTTAAGCTGACCTGTTTCAACTTGCTGCAGGTTATTGTTCAAGTCCCCAACTTGCTGCAAGTTATTGTACCAGTCCCACTGCCATTGCTTTCTGCACATTAAAATAAATCTCAATAAATATACATACATTTCCTGTTCAGTGGTACATGTGGACGGTGGCTACAGATACTTTATGTAATTGAGTTTGATAGAATTGTATGGTATTTGCCATATGTAAGGTTTACACATGTAGCTTATATATAGCTATGCATAAAAGGATTTACATTTCGCAATGCTAGGTTTACTTTTTCTGTAATATTGTTGCTCCATTAAACCACTCCAGCAGGCTACCTAAGCTGAGATCATGCCGGTGGTACTTAGCTGTTCATACCAAAAATAGTGAAATTTGCTTACTTTACTTTTACCATAATATGTTAATTTAATTTGCCAATGAAACATGTATGATTCCAATTATTCGCAATAAATGCAAAGATCATTGTTATGTTACAGTGTGTCCACATGATTCTGGGACATCTAAACTTTTTCGCCCCATAGCAGTCACATGATCTGCTAAGACCAATCTCCTCCCCGATACTGTTGTAAAACAAAGTGGAATGAATAAAAGTTAAAAACTGTTTCCACAAAGTTTTCCCATGATGACCCCTGAAATGTATAGAAATCATGGGATGTGGGTTCTACCTGCTGCTGCCACAAGTTCTGTATTGTTACCTTCACTTGTATAAATCACATTGAGTGAATTTATCAAAACTAGAGAAGACAAAATCTGGTGCAGCTGTGCATGGCAACCAATCAGCTTCTCTCTTTCATTTTCAAATTTTAACTGAGCAAACTGAAAGGAGAAACTGATTGGTTGCCGTGCAGAGCTGCTCCAGATTGTGTCTGCTCCAGTGTTGATAAATTCCCCCATTGTCCTTTTGTGTAATCATAGATCCAATCTTCACTGTGTTTTATGTTTATTTTAAACAACTGGTGGAAGTTATGTCATAACACTGTTACCAGATAACTTGGCCTGGACAACAAAGGTGGTGGAAATGCACCATTACATAGTTAGTCAGGTTGAAAAAAAAAGACACAAGTCCATGGAGTTCAACCTATAGAGATATGAAAAAAAAAAAAGAAGGAAAGCCTAAACAGAACGCTATGCCCCCAATTACCCCCTGCTGATCCAGAGGAAGGGGAAAAAACCCTATAAAGCATGGTTCAATTTTCTCCAACAGGGGAAAAAATATCTTCCTGATCCCATAAGGAAATCGGATATTCCCTGGATCAACAATCTCTGATGCCTAATATACCTCTAAGAACTCAATATCCAGTAATATTCTGTGCATTTAAGAATACATCCAGATTTTCTTTTAAACAATTAACTAGCTACTGGGGGAGTCTGTTTCACATTTTCATAGCTCGAACTGTGAAGAATCCTTTCCGTATGCAAAGGTTAGACCTCTTTTCCTCCAGACGCAAGGAGTGCCCCCTTGTCCTTTGCAGTGACCTTAAAGTGAATAATTTGGCACCAAGCAACCATTAAAAATATTATCACATGTCTAGAATATCCCCCACACCCCTCCATCTCCAAATGATACTAATAATAACACTTTCTATTGCAGCTTAAGGGAAGTGCTGGCTCCTCTTCTTGATGATAAAGGTGTTTCCTTCCTGGAACTGGAGAATGACTTTCCCAAACAAATTGCACTTGCCCATTGCATTGAAGCTTGGAAGGTTGCTGCCAATAAGAAGTGGAATCGCATTTAATGGCCTCGAATGGATAATAGTGGCTGCAAAGTCTATGTGCTGCATTGTGAGACCTTATACTGCTGCTGCTAACTCAGGCTGTTTTGTATTTTTTTACTTTTTATATTTTGTTTCATTACAAATAAGATATATAGATGTATATGCAAAGGATGCATAATAGAATATATAGCAATAAGTGTATGTGACTTATTAGGAAAAAAATAAGTAATGACAACAACCTAAAATTGGTACAAACTAGATTGCTGCATATTTTGTATCTGACCAACCCTAAACCATGTCTACAACTTAGAGGTTAGTGTTGCCTTTCAGATACACATTTAGTACACATTTGTAGGTTATGCATCCGTTTATAGTTATATTACATTTTCAGTATATTACATTTTCAAATTACTGCCTATGCCACACTTGGGAATGGTAAGGCCCTTCAGTTACAAAGAATAAAACAACAGGAAAGCTGAAGGATGGAAGTTGCCATTGCCTGACCTAGACAAGTGATGCAGCTATATAGCTGTATGAGCAGAGCCCAGGTTTCTACCTCTAATAGTGTTAGAATAACTCAGGTATAAAGATTTACTATGCTTACCAATCATAGACCAGAAAAATGACCACAGTCCGCACACTTCAACTTTTGTACTTTTCACTGGTTTAGGGAATCTATCGATATGGAATAATGCACTTATAAAATTAAGCCATGGGAAATTATCATTCATAGATAGAGAAGGTTGTTTCCAGATCCTTTGAATGAATATCATCCCTAAGAGCTATAGCCGGGTTTTCATAAAATAATAATTTTTGTTAAAGGTAACATTTTAGTGTTTTACTGTTGTTCTTTCATAAAGGGCAATGCATTTCCTGGGAAAGGGTAAACCCGTGTACCCACCAGTAGTGTCAGTTGATTTACAATTGATATAGCAAGAAGGTCCATTGAACGGCTATAGGCGTATATATTTTATACATTCCCAGAACATTTTCCAGCATATTCAATAACATGCTGCAAAAGCAATTATGCTGAAAGTGTAGTAAATCTTAAAGTGTATTTCCACCTTTTGCAGTCAAATTTGAGGAACCCCCACTATATGTTTTAATGTATTTAGTCAAAACAGCATACCTAAAAATAACAAAAAAAAGTTCATATCTGTTTAGCTGTGTCTTTGAAGCAGGATTAAACAAAGGACTCTACAGGCAGCTTCTATTGCCCGAATAGATGGCAATGTGCAGATAAAGCTGGGGCAGCTTTTTAGTGTAATAACATACAATGTATGTTATTTAACCCATTGTTAGGACAGACAGTGTTCAAATCTAGTCACAGCTGATAATTAAATCTGCCAGCACAGTACAGACAGGGTTAAATATGTAAATATAAATTCACAAAACTTAATACCCCAATCTGACATTACATAGGGAAAGATATCTAAGATTTTTCAGCAAAGAAAAAGCAATAAAAAAATAAGCAGCATTGTTTTTGTCTTTTTTTCAAAGGTATGTTTTGTGAATGAAAACATGTAACAGATATAAAGCGAGTGGTATCCCAATATGCCTGCAAAAGTGGAAATACACTTTGATGGCCGATCAGGAATTATTTTAAGCTGACCTGTTTCAACTTGCTGCAGGTTATTGTTCAAGTCCCCAACTTGCTGCAAGTTATTGTACCAGTCCCACTGCCATTGCTTT